GCCGGGTGCGTTCCTTGCAAGAGGTGCTGGTGGTCTGTGGTGGTGACACGCTGACGGCCAACCTGGCTGCCCGGAAGCCCAGTGGAAACCTCTGGTTTGCCCACCGCTACCTCAGTGCTGTGGGGCTGGTGAAGCAGGTGGAATGGAGGGCACTGGGACAGTTTCCTGATGGTCCACGCTTCCGCCATGCTGTAGCTGTTGTGGGCAATACCCTCTATGTCCTGGGTGGCAAGCGCTACTACGGGGTCCGTGACACCTTGGCCAGTGTCTACAGGTGAGAGCTACAGAGGACCTGGAGGTGCCATGCAGCACGAGGACACTGTGGGACCAGAGGAGGTGTTGGTGGAGCTAGCGCTGTCCCGTGGACCACTGCGGCACTGTGGCAGTGCAGTTGTTCAAGTGGCCCAAGGCATGCTGGGGTTGGTTTGGTGTAGGACTAGGAGATGCCCTCCCACTGCAGGTTGTTACAGGCATTTTGGGGTTAGGGCAGGGAGGCTCCTGTCTGGAGGCGTGCCGAGGTTCGGTATTGCCCAGAGGGAGGGGATGTTCCCATGCAAGGGGCCCATGCGGCCAATATCGCCTCATGGCATTGTAGGTGACAGGTGTTCTCTTGCCCCTTTGCCCCTCAAACACAGGTACCAGCCTATGGATGATTCCTGGGAGTGCCTCTCCAGCATGACCTGTGGACGGAGCTACTTTGCTGCCGTGGCACTTGGGGATTCCATCTACGCCCTGGGCGGCAGCTCGGGGGAGCTCTACTGCACAGACTCTGTGGAGTGCTACGACCTGGCCAACGACACCTGGAGGTGAGACCACTCCACTAGACACCTGCTTCCCTCTGCCCTAGGAGCCCCTTGCTTTGGCCAGTGGCGCCCATTGGTCTTTGGATCACTGAGCCTCCAATGGAGACTGGGCCCACAGTGGTCTTTGGGAGAGTTCTACTGGGTATTGGGCAACCATGGCTCTTGGGGTTCACTGGGTGTTGGCCAGTGTTGCTTATTGGGTGGTAAATGAGTTTTTGGGCAATAGTATTCACTGAGGGTCTGTTGACCATCTGCCAATGAGACGATCATTTAAACATCTTCCAGCTATGTTCATTGGGTGCTCTGTTGCGTGTTGGCCAATACTGTCCATTGAAGGAGTCCACTGTGGGTTACGACCAATGGTCTTTTGGGGTCTACAAAGTGTTGAACAGTAATGCTCCTTGGGCATCCATTATGTGTTAGCTGATGCTACCCACTGGGCCTCATTAAGTGTTGGCCAGCATTGCCCGTTGAGCAGTCCATGGAGCCATGGCTCACCAGGGAACTCCTGAGCAGGCAGTCACCATGGGCAGCCCTGCTTAACCTGCCCTTCTCCCCGTCCCTCTCTCCTTGCCCAGGAGGTGCCAGCCCCTGCCGATGGCTCTGTGTGGACACGCAGCATGTGCCCTGGACGGTGCCCTCTACGTGTCAGGGGGGTGTGATGAGGCGTGCCAGTGCCAAGCGTCCCTGCTGCGCTATGTCCCGGGTACGCCTACCGCTCTTCTGGCCCCCATGAATGGCCAGCGAGCTGGCCACGTCATGGAGGAGGCGGGTGGGCAGCTCTATGTGGCTGGGGGGCTGTGCCAGCGAGACGGGCAGACTGGCTACAGGGACCAGCTGGCCTTTGAGGTCTACAGCCCCAAGCTGGACATCTGGGTCCTCCTCAGCCCCCTGCCTCATGCCCATGTAGTCGGGGGCGCAGCTGTGCTGGGAGGGGAACTGCTTGTGCTGGGAGGCTACAGTCATGAGACCTACCAGGACACCCACTTGATCCACGCCTACCAGCCAGGGACCCGACGCTGGATCACCCGGGGCACCTTGCCCCATGCCTATACTGACCTCCAAGCCTGTGTCCTCACTGTACCCCCTGCCTTGCGTGGCCCCAGCTGCTCTGAGGACCCCTCAAGGTCACCCCAAACCCCCAATAATACTTAAGGGAGGCTTAAAAGCTCTGCACCCTACATTGGGATCCCCAGGTAGCATCAGTGGGCACCTCTATGGGACGAAATCACTCCCAGATCCTTCCCTCAGAATGGTTCCTCCTGTGGTTTCCAGCATCCCCTCCACCCACAGGGTACATGCCCTAGGCTGTGCGGACCTAGTAGGACACAAAGACTCCCCACACTGCAATGCTGTGCCTCCAGGAATACTCACTCCCCTGCCCTGAGCCCTTTACTGGGAGCTCGGGATCCACAGATTTCCCTCCACACTTGGGCTGAATAAAAGTGGCTCCTGAACTACCCATTTGGGTCGTCTTGTTTCTGTTGGGAAATCCAGACGTCCAAGTGCTTGTTGCAAGGAACAGGAGGAGAGCAGGAGACCAATGGCCTGAGTGTCCTGGATGGGTGGTGGTGGGGAGCAGGAGGTGGGTGGAGGGCATTGGGGCTCTAGGTGCCTGTGGTCACTGGACGTGGGGAAGGGTGTGCTCGGGTCTCAGGACTGAGAGGCATCTTGGGATGCATGGGGGATCCTGAGAGAACAGGAGAGTCCTGGGGGTGCTAGGGTTTGGGAGGTAGATGGCAGGGTGAATAGGGGGCATCAGGGAGTCCTGGGGAATTTGGAATTCCCAGGTGCCTCTGGGAGGTCTTGGCTTCCTGGAGTGACCTGGACTGCTTGTTTGTGGTGAGATGGGAGAATCCTGGGGCGGATTGCAAGGAGAGGCCAAAGATGGCCTCAGCCCATCGGTCCAGCCCGCCCAGGTCCATCTCTAGAGTCCTTCAACCCTCAAGCAGATCAACACTCCCACCCAACTTGGTGTCAGCTGCAAACTTACTGTGGGTGTGCTTGAGCCCCTCGTCCAGATCACTGATAAAGCTATTAAACAGAACCGGCCCCAGTACTGAGCCCTGGGGAACACCACTTGTGACCAGCCACCAGCTGGATTTAACTCCATTCACCACCACTCTTCGGGCCCCACCATTCAGCCTGGTTTTTACCCAGCAAAGAGTATGCCTGTCCAGACAACGAGCAGCCGGTTTCTGCGGGAGAATGCTGTGGGAAACAGTGTCAAAAGCATTACTAAAGTCCAGGTAAACAACATCCACAGCCTTTCCCTCATCCACTAAGCGAGTCACCTTGTCATAGAAGGAGATCAGGTTGGCCAAGCAGGACCTGCTGTGGTAATAATCTGAGGGCCGTACCAGTGTAAGAAGTCTTCTCTTCACATCTTTAACCCGGGCCCCAGGGAGGCAGCAGACTTCCCCAAGATGTAGGTCTGGTCTGCATACTGGGCCTTCTGTTCCCTTCACAAGGGAGTCTCCTTTGACAGTGGTCTGGTTTTTTTTTTTTCTTTATGGAAGCATTTTTGACACAGGACATAGGCCGACTTAACCTTGGCAACACCTCCAAGCCAGATGAACCATCATCCTCATTATTGTTCAGGTCCACTTGGAGAACCTTGTACCTATCATGCAAGAGCACCCGGGAAGGCGAGGCAGTCACAAAGACGTGCCTGTTTGTTGGGCAGCAATTGTTGCCGTCGTCCCTACCCCTTAAGTCACTGTGCTCAGCCAGCCAGCCAGAAGACAGGGAGTCTTCCATATCATGCGTCCTGTCCGCCGGCTGGGCCTGTCCCGGGGAAGGCAGGGTGTGATTCCAGTAGTCTCTCTTTCTCTCGCACTGCCTGATACTCCTCAACCTACTCTCCTCCTCCCGGACCTCTGTCCCTAAGCGGAGGGGCTCCTCTCCCGGGGAGCACCCACCCCAGCAGTGCTCACTGCTGCCGTCCCATCCTGGTGACGAGCAGGGCCCACCCTGCAGCCTGGCACCGGGGGCCCAGCGTGTTTCCACTGCAGCTTTGCTTGGGCAGCCGCATCAGTCCTGGAGGGTGCAGAGCTTAGAGAGTCCGTGGCTTTCTGCCGGGTGGATCCCACTTCTCCCTGATTGACCTGGCAGAGCTTCAGCATCCTTCCTGTGCGTCATTCCGTGTGAACTGCTGCGACGTGCCCCGTTTGCCCGCCCTGGTTCCTGGCACTCCCTAAGGGCTTCAGTTACACGTGGCAGGGAGCTTGGCCGCTATTTCTCCTGGCCCTGCCCGACCAGGTCCCATCAGCTGCTGTCACACCAGCTGCAGGCTCCTGGCAGGTCTCCTGGCTCCCCCCAAGGTTCCCCCGGCTCAGCAAACAGCCCCCGTGCACTGCACTAGGGCACCTTGCTGCCGATTGTGCTGGCACTGGAGCAACTGAGTGTTGTCTCAGGAAAGAGGGAGGGAGTATGGTGTGGTCAGAGAACAGCACCAGCACACAGACAAATGCTTGCATGCAAACGCAGTGCTTGTACGCCCACAGACACACTAGCACACGTGAGCTTGACTAGCGGACACACTTGCATAGAAGGATGCTCACCCCAGCTGGCCAAGCACAGGCATACCTACCCTTCTGTGGACCAGATAATTAACCGGGCAGAAGATCTGCTGACCCACAGTAGCTGGACAATACGTTTGGGACAGTTAGAACTGGAACAGTGTTTGAAACTGTAGAAATGATCATACGATCTAGTTGATGCATTTGTGCACCAGTATTGAGGCCTGCTGGTTGACCCCCACCAATGACAACCTCTGTCTCCTCCTCACTCTTCCCAAAATGTTTGGGTGACTTCCGCACAGGTGGTCACAAAGTTTGGCCAGCCCCTGGACACTTTGTCCTAATGTGATTCCTTACAAGTCACATCCATCACCTGCTGAAGCCTCCCACCCTCCTCCTCCATTTCCAGCCATCCCATAATGGGTCATGCAGAGGCACTGACACTATCATTTCCTGAACTTACTGTGTGACAGTGGGACATGCAGCGGGATGATTTTCCCATGTGATTCAATCCCACCGGGAAGGATCACACATCTGGGGCAAAAGTCAGGAAGCTAGGAATAAGTGGACTTTTCCTATCGTCACTAGTCCAAGTACTAAAGACAATTTTGTCATTCACTGTACCCTGCCAGGACTGTGAGAGGTCCAGTGAAATGAAACTAGCCCCCATTTGAAATTCAGGTAAAGAGAATATTTATTCTGTGATTAACCTGTCATTGGGTTGAAAGCATAGCGCATCTTTATGTGCATCATTTGAACAGAAGCGGTTGGGATACAAAATAGAGAGTAAGCTCTGCTTTCCCACACTCATCCCGAAACCAGGCAGTGGCAGCCCCAAACTATCACTGGCCAGTTTAAGCCATCTTCTCCCCCTTGCCAAGTACCCAAGTAATTACTTCAGATCTAGAAACCTCAGGAGGTGTGAAATTAATACTAGAGGAAGGAGCTGGGTGGCTTCCCTCCGGGCAAGAAGCTGTTTCCCTTGTAAAACAAGGGTACATGAAGCAGAGCCATGACCCTCCATCTCTTTCTCTGAACATACAGAAGCATTTACAAGGTGTTGCCAGCATATTTCACTCTGACATCACCGATGGCCTTGACAGCCCTGTCCAGGCTGTAAGCAGAAGAGGTCCTGAGGGAGCCAAGGTTTGTGGCCGTCAGCTTCCCGGAGAAAGACTTGAACGAAGCATTCGGAGGACTGTGGTGGACCCACACCTCCTTTGTAGTGCAGAAGGAGGAACTTGCAGGAGGACTGCGTTGTATTGCCACATCTTTAACGGTGCAGTAAATGACCTCAGGGCACAACTCCACTTCCTTGATGGTACAGAATGTGGGGCGCCGGAGAGGGCTTTCGAAGCTGCTGAGATGCACTGCAGGGCTTCCTGTAGGCTCCCTGCACCTCAGCAGTGGGTACTGCACCTCCTGGGTCTGCAGGGACTTGTGCCAGGAGGGCCGTCCCGCCAGACACATCCACACCAGCCAGCCCCCTAAAGCCAGCACGGTCAGGACCAGCAGAACCATGGAGGCCACATAGAGCACCCAGTGCAATAGGCAGCAGTGCCTCTGCACCCACTGCCCCCACTGCGGACCCTCCCCACCTGCCCACGAGTGCAGCACGGGTATGGCCAGTCCTGGGGTGGAGCATGGGCAGAGGGGGAGAGGTGCGGGTGAAGGAGAAGGCGCAGGCTGGGTGACACGTGTGGTGTCCAGAGGGGCCAGCAGTGTTGGGGCGTGAGTGGAAAGCACGGCGGTGGAGACCACTGGTGTGGTCGATGTCCCAGGAGATGAAGATCTGACAACGGAAGAGGCCTCTAGCGTGGCAGTAGAAGGCACTGCCATGGAGGTGGTGGAAACTGAGCCAGTGGACACCGTGAGAGCGGCATCGGTGTTAGTAGTGCTGGCAGTGAGGGTGGTCTGGGGACGGCTGCTGGTGCTGGAAGGTCTGGTGCTCATAGCGGCTGGCAGTGAGGTGGTAGAGATGAGGGTGGCTGGTCCGTGTGGTTTGCTAGTGGGAGCGGCAGTGGGAATGGCAGCAGTGTCAGGGGCCTGTGTGGGTGTGACGGTGGGACTGGCTGGCACAGGAGTGGTGGTGCTGGGAGCTCTGGTGCTTGAAGGCGTTGCAAGTGAAGTGTTTGGGGCAAGGATGGAGCTACGGGGGGCGGTGAGGGGAGGTCTTGTGGTAGCAAGGGGAGGCCAAGTAACAGCATGGGGTGTGGGGGTAGATGGACGTGGGGGGAATAAGGTGATCGTGGTAGCTTTCTCCATTGTTTCTTCCCCATCATAGTATTCATCCTCTTCCTCTTCATCCCCCACACTGCTGCAGTTGGGCTTGAAGTAGATGATGGGCGTCAGCCGATGCTCGGCAGGGCTGTGGCACAGCACCTTCTCAGGGGCGACCTCCACCTTTGTCTTCTCCAGGCCCCTCTCCGGCTGGTAGACACTGCCGTCGTTGTGCCTGATCCAGGCCTTCAGGTAGAGCAGGTTGCAGTCACAGTGCCAGGGGTTCTCAGTGAGGAAGACATACATGAAGAGGTGCCCCTCAGGGAAGAATTCGGTGGGCAGGGTCCGCAGGCGGTTCCCTGAGAGCCAGAGGGTCGCCAGCTTTTGCAGATCCTGCAGCAGCTCCTTGGGGAGCTCCTCCAAGAAGTTGTCTGAGAGGTCCAAGTCCTCGAGTGCTCTCAGCCCTGCAAAGGCCTCCTGGGGCAGCGTCCGCAGCTGGTTCCCACGCAGGTCCAGGTCCCGCAGCTGCGGCACGGCGTGGAAAGCCCCCGGGGCCAGTGTTGTCAGGCTGTTGTTGGCCACAGCCAGGCGGGTGAGCGAGGGCAGGCCCCGCAGGGCAGGCAGGGCCCCCAGCATGTTGTGGGAGAGGATCAGCTCCTTCAAGGACGGCAGCGGGGTCCCGGTGTGCAGAGCCACCAGCCCGTTGTCAGATAGGTCGAGGTCCTGCAGCTGGGCGAGGGGCAGGAGGGTGGCAGTGGAGAGGGATGCCAGGCGGTTGGCATTGAGCAGCAGGATGCCCGTGCCCACAGGCAGGCCCGGGGGCACCGCGCTGAGCGCCTGCCCCGTGCAGTTCACCTCCAGAAGGTCCTTGACCTTGTTCATCTCGGACGGGCAGGTCTGGCCTGGGTCGGTAGTGCCGGCTGAGGGCAGCAGGGCCGGGATGATGAGCAGGAGCAGGGCAGGGACCCGCATGGTGTGGAGGGGAGAGCCAAGAGGTATGGCCACCGGCAGGCACACCCCTACCTGCCGCCTTTCTTCACATGCAAGCACCATTTGCAGCAGAGCTGGCACCCCCCTGCCAGGTCCTCTGGGCGCCCTCTGAGCACCACAGCTCCTCCTAGGGAGGATGGAAGGGAGGGGTGAGTCCCACACCTATTTCCAGCACCCACCCCATCATCTCGTCTGTGGAGGGTGGCAGGCTCAGCAAGGAGACACCATCTCTGCCCTTTTGCTCACCTTGTCCTCCTGTGGGAGGAGAACCTGATTCCCGTGCCTCCCCACGGCAGTGCCTCCTCCCCTGGGGTGGCACTGCCACCCTCACCACTGCAAAAGCAGTGTGTTGACATCTGCATACCCACGCCCAGCCCAGCCAAGCCATGTTCTGGAAGAAGATCTCTGACTACGCTCTTACCCAGCGCCCTTGGGTTCACGAGACAGAAGCACGAATCGCGTGGAAAGAATTTCCCACGCACAGACATGGCTGCCCTGGGTGCCCAGCCCCTGGTGGACACTGCTTCCCTGGGACTCACCTGCGGGCCCTTCAGCCTTTGCTCTCCTGCCACCTTGCCTCCCGCCTGCCCAAGGGCTGGGTGCTGCTCCGGCAGCAGCGCGAGTGGCAGGGCTGCCCAGGCCCTCTATCAGCACACACAGCTGTGGGAAGGGAGCCGTGGCTTCCTGACCAGCTAAACCCATCTCCTGTCCTTCAGCACAGCCCCCGCTTTAACTGTGCTGTCACATTGCTGTCTCCTTGGAAAAGTCTCAACCAGAGGACGGCTCCATAATTTCTTGCTTCTGCACAGTAAAGGAGCTGGGGGTTGCACCCAGGAGGAGCCCTTGCATGCCCCTCTGCCCCCCAGGCCACATCTTTTTACATCCTGGGAAAAGGATCCCTTGCACAAATGGCTGCCCCTTCCTCTGCTTCAAGGCAGCCCCTTCTCAGAATGCTCTGGGCTTTGATTTTTGAGGCATCTCAACCTAGGGACTGCAGCCTAGTTGGCATGCCAGCGAGAAACAGTTTCTGCACATTACCTTAGCCAGTTGTTTGTCGTGTAGATGAGGGATCCTTTCTTTCGGGCTTGCCAGTAAAGATGGGAATGGCTCTTCTGGAGACCTGGGAGGCAGCTTTAACATTTGTAGGAGAAGCTGCAGCACAGACCAGGCAAGGAGATTAGAGGCAGAGGAAGGAGCTCGGTTTTGCAATTCTTCCTGCTGTCTGTTCCTGCAGCCAAGTTGTCTCCACTTCCCTGGACCATAGGTCACTGCAGAGCATCTTGGACTGCAGAGCTGGACGGTCACCCAAAAGCTGCAAGGGGAGATACTACAGAAGAGGGGAGATAGTGGTTTTCTATTCTATGAATTGTGGTGGGTCAACTCCAGCCAGCAGCTAAGCATCCACCAGCCACTCACCCACTGCCTCTATAGAGGGATGAGAGAACTGGAAAAGCAAAAAAAAAAAAAAAAAAAACAAAACCTTTATGCATTAAAGATAGTTTAATGAGTGAAGGAGAGAGAGAAAAAAAAAAGTGATGCAGAAGTGTTCACTCGTCAGCTCCCACCAGCAGCTTGATGCTCAGCCAGTCCTTGAGCAATGGTACCATAGAAAAACTTCCCCCACCCCGCCCTGCCCTGCCCCAATTTCATTGCTTAGCATGATGCCACATGGTATGGAATGTCCCTCTGGTCCATTGGGATCAGTTGTCTCTCCCATGTCCTCTCCCAACCTCTCTTTCACCCCCAGCCCATTCACTGCAGGGGCATTTTAGTTCAGCTGGAGGCAGCAGCAGAGGCAGAACCTGGGGGGCTGTTTTTTGGCTCTGCATCAGCAATTTCCAACAGAAAGCATGGGATAGGAAGGGAGAGAGCAAATGTAACCCTGGCCTTCTCATAGGATCCCAGGGATTAAGTCTGAATGTGGTTTCACCTCTTCCACAACACTACTCTTACCCTCACCCTGGACCTACAGCATCCCCCACGGCACCATCAGTCAGACTTCCATGCCGTGGCCCCATGTTCCCAACCCACAGCCCTTATCATTACTTCTACCTCTCTGTCTCCCTTTTCCAGGTGGGATGAGTGCACTAGGACACACTGAATCTTCAAAAGGTCCTTCACCCCACCTGTTTCACTTGCTGAAGGAGAAGGAGCAGAAGACCCAAGCAGTCCCCTCTGACAGGCCTTGCTGAAGGGGAAGGGGCACACTGTACCAGAGGAAAGAGGCGCACAGGTCAGGAGCTGTTTGCAGGCACACTCCTCCCATGGTTGGTTACAAAGAGTGAGGAGGAGGCCAGGAGAGATCCTGGGGTCGTGACACCCAGGTGGGGAGAGTAAAGGAGCAAGGATGGTGTTTCCTTGCTGAACCTGCTTCCCTTAGGTGAAGACAAGAGGGGGATGAGGGTTATACCAGCCATCCTGCTAGTGATGATGCTTTTGCCCCACATTTGCTGTCCACTCTTTCATTTCTCTCTTAGCTTCACATTTTTGTCCAGCCCATCAGCTTCTTCCCCTGCTCCAGACCCACACCTGTTCCCTATTCCCACACCCTAGAGGGTCTGCCTCCCATGAGTTTGTTGCCTCAACCTTGATTTCACCTGCAGATTGTTTTGAGTGGGTGTTTAGAGGGAACAAGGTGATGCAGGCTGTTTCCTACTTCCTTTAGCACCTCACCAACACCGTATGTGACTCTGAGAAACAGGAAGGGGATCATGAAGTGATGGTTCCTGAGGGTCATAGAAACATCCAGCTGCATCACCCCTGGCTTGAGGAGCACAGTGCTCCTTCTCCAGTGCAGAAAGCAGGGTCTGTATCTTTACCTTCCCACCAGCCTTCTTTAAGGACACGAATGTCTGACCCCTCTTCAGAGCTCTGGCAGCAGCAGCCACCCTCATGCTGCCTGTCCCTGTAGACTTGTGACCTTGTTCTCGGGGACTTTGGAATGGTCTGTCACTGGGTCCTTCAGCATGCCCCTCAGCTACTGTAGACCTCACAACTGATCTGACATCTGTTGCATCATGTGGGATTGTGCCTGGCAAGGAACAAAGCTGAGGCATGACTGCCAACCTCTGGGAGCACTACTCCTGGGGGCTGGGCAGGCTTGGAGAGAAAGGTGAAAGCCCTAATACCATCTCTGAGCTGTTCCCTTCAGGCTCCTCCATGGTGGGAAGATGGAGCTGCCCTGGGCTGAGCATGAACAGACTTACCCTGGCACACACACAGGTGCATCTTCTTTCATTTCTGAGAACCCCATGAATTCAGCAGTAATGGTGAAGCCTTCCCTCAGGAAGGTCTATGCTTGCTGGACATCAGTTGAGCGGAGTATCTGGTGCGAAAGCATGTCTGGCCTCAAAGGAAGCACATACTTCCATCCTCTCCTTGCAGGTGGCAGTTTCTACTACAGCAAAATAAACTGCCCCAAAAATATGCCTCAATATGAGATACCCTTCTTCATATGAATTTTTGTTTTTTCCAGCTTCATTTCAGCCCACATGGAACATTCTGAGCCTGCTCCAGACTCCTCAACACTGGAAGCAAAAGCAGCTTTTTCTCCCCCAGAATGAGTGACCAAAGGTGTGATCCATCGCACAGCATTAGATGTCTCCAGGTCACAGGTGAGCTCATCACCTGGACTTGTGCAGGAGGCAGATGTGGGGACAAGCACAGCCACGGACTGATCCCACTGACATGTCTTTGTTAGCTCCTGCTAGCAATGTGGTGAACTATTTTCTCAAAAGTCCCTGCCAATTCCCCACAAGCTAAAAGGGGGTGAAGACAACGCCTCAGACACAGACATTTGGTGCTGACACACATACGGACAAATCCCACTGAAGTAACTTTATTTTGTACATTTAAAAAGCAGTCTCTGTTGCGGGGGTGTCTTTTCAGTGGGAGTGCTGTTCAACAGGTAGAGAGTGAGGATGAAAGGCAATAGTCACAAGTTGCAGTTGGGGAAACTCTGACCAAACTTAAGGATTCTTAATTCTTCCCCTTGAGAGAGGTGCAGCACCATGAGAGAGGTCCAGAGAGGTAACAAGATCTCCGCCCTTGAAGATCCTACACAATTCAGCTGAACAAGGTCCAAAGACACCTAAGGTTAGTCCTGCTGTGAGCAGGTGGTTGCAACAGAAACCTCCACAAGTTCCTTCTAACCTAAATCCTTCTGTGAGTCTGAACTCCTGACATCCCCTAAAAAAAGCCTTCTCTTACTTCCTGCCCTTCATCAGGGCCACATTTTGAGCCACGTCCCAGGACCCAGCCAGACCCAAGGGTGGACTTCTATCCCCTCAAATGATGTCAGTGGAAACGTAAAGATGGGAATCTCCTCATCAACACTGAAAAATGCCACCCGTCCCTCTTCATAATCCAGAGAGATCCGGATCCGCTTGGGTGTCTGGATTTCAGGAAGGGGAGTGCGATTGGGGTATGTGAGAGCTTGGAAGTTCCCTGCCCACTTCCCCACTGCCCAGATGCCCTCCTCTGGTTTAAACTCAATATCACCCTTCCTTTTCACATCTTTTCTGGAGACCCCCACAGTCCAACCTGCTCCATCCACCACCTCTATTTCCCAGTAGTATCTTCCTGAGGCGAAGCCTTCACGGCCCAGCACGCAGCGCCATGGGTTAAATCTCTCAGGGATGTCGGGGATATCCTGCAACGTGTCTTCTCGTTTCACACTTTTGCAGTCGTCAGACAGGACAAGGTCACAGTGGGCTGTGTCTGGATCTAGAACCACATTCGCTGCAGGAGAGATGGAGTCAACACATCAGGGCAGAGCTCAGCCCAGGAGAAATGTTTGCTGCGGCTGCATGAGGAAGAAGAAAAAGGGCGCAAGTGATAGCTGGCAGCCTGTGGCACGGGAAGCTGCACAGGGTAACAGGGCCGGTGCAAGGAACAGAAAATGAAGCAGACAGATGACATCAAGCAGAGAGGGAAGAAGGTCAGCAGAACTCCATGCTGAAGAAGTCCCCATGTCTCTAAAACCTGGCCAGTACCACTCACTGGGCAGCAGGACTCCAGATTCGCTTGAAACTGGAGTATGTGCCAAATTAACAAGGGGTCTGAGTATTACAATTCCTCCTGTAAAGTGAGGGTTGGCAGAAGCATCCCTGATCCCACCAGCATCACTGTGGGAGGGGAACTACCAGGAAGGCAGATTAAAGCATGGAAGATGATTTGGCACCCTGAAAGACCAAACTTGGATTACCTTTTTCTATAGGCACTGCATATCTTCTCCATGCTTAAAAAAAAACAACAAACAAAAAAACAAACCACAGATGAGAGGTGATCTGAACACACTTGTTACTGGATTAGTTTAGCTCAAGATAATGATAGGCCAGTGTAGTTGCATGTTTTATGAATTGCTGCTATATTTGTGAAAGTCATCTCACAGTATGTAGCTTTAAAACTTCAGTGCCTAGGTACATGAAAGGGCTCCATCCACTTCCTACAAATATAGTCACGCTGCCTGTCCCAATTCAGACATATAAAATCACAGACTGGTTTGGGCTGGAAGGGACCTTTAAAGACCCCCCCAGTCCCACCCCCCTGCCCGGGCAGGGCCCCCTTCCCCCAGCCCAGGGGGCTCCCAGCCCCGTCCAACCTGGCCTTGAACCCTTCCAGGGAGGGGGCAGCCACAGCTGCCCTGGGCACCCTGGGCCAGCGCCTCGCCCCCCGCACAGGGAACAATTTCTGCCTTATATATAACCTAAACCTACTCTCTGTCAGCTATAAACCGCCATCCCTTGTCCTATCCCACCCCCTGACCCAGAGTCCCCCCCCCCCCTCCTGTCCCCCCTTTAAGCCCTGGGAGGCCGCTCGAAGGGCTCCCCGGAGCCTTCTCTTCTCCAGGCTGAACCCCCCCAACTCTCTCAGCCCGGCCCCCCAGGGGAGCTGCTCCAGCCCCCCCAGCATCTCCGTGGCCTCCTCTGGCCCCGCTCGAGCAGCTCCGGGTCCTTCTGCTGTTGGGGGCCCCCGAGCTGGCCCCAGCACTGCAGGGGGGTTCCGTATATTTATGGTTTGTTTGTACTTTCCTTGAAAACTGAAAGAATTTTCTTAGTATAGAAGAATTACAGGGAATAGCTCAAAATCGCATATAGAACAAAGGAAAATAATGTTTCTGAAATGAGTTCAGTATCTGCTACCTCTTACTTTCCCAAAAGGAAAGCCAAAACCAGGGCATATGTTCAAAACCCAGATGAGAAGTTGGCTCAACTAAGAAGTCTCCCATATGGGAAGGAGAATGATACTCACCAAGTTCTTCAGCTTGCTTCTCTGAAAAAGAAGATAAACCAGCACAAATCAGTTGTGGGACACTGATTTGGATATAACCTCTCCTGTAATGCCTGCCTGCACGTGCGGGAGGGTGGGTTTCTGCCAATGCTTGGCAATGCAAAGCCCTCTCCTACCCCCAGCCTGGAGCTCTGCAAGTGATGGTGCAGGCTGTCCTGCTCAAATCTGGGTCAGGAGAAGGTCCCTGGGAGGCCCCTCGCCTTGAAGGGGACCCATCACTGGGCTCTCTAACCCTGCCTGTGCCACCAGCGCAGGCATCCATCCCCAGCCCCAGACACCATCTTCGATGATCTTTGTTTTTCTGATTTTCAAATCCACTCTCTCCTTTGCCCCCTATCCCCCAACCACTTTTGGTTCATTGCATGATTTAAAAGTGAAAAGGACAAAAAAGACCACCACCCTATACAGATTCTTAAAATATCCTTTGTAAGGAAGACACTCACCAATTTCTGCATCACGATCACCTGATCAACAAAAAGAAACACACGCAAGTTACTGTCTGACACAGTCCCTTCCCTAGGACCCCAGGTAAAAGACCACACAGGGAGCAGATGTGCTGATTTATACTCTGACTGCAAGTATGCTGATGATTCCTCAGTGAGCTGACCTGTACTGATTTTCCCCATCATTAATTTCCCCCCTTTATTGGCACCAATTTAGCAAAAGCTTATTTTTAATAGCCAGAGGACTATTTCTTGGCAACTCTACGAGCTGCAAGCAAACAAAAAAAAATATATGCTCTCTTCAAGAGTTTTTGTGGGTTTTTAAAAATTTCTTCGTAATTAAACAATCTAAATTTTTATAAGAAAATTCTCAACAGTTTAGGTTTCCATAATCTTCCACTAAAACCCAGTAACTTTTCAGCACTATTTTATTACTTAAAATGAGAATGTTAAAAAGCATTGACAGCCACTCAGGAAAAAAATCCTAATGTCTTTTCAGAGTGAATTTTCACATTATTCACGGGTCAGGGGAGGGGGAAGTAACGTATCTGCTTAAAAAGAACATTTGGACAGAATGAGGGAATGAATAAAAAAGCCCGAAAGGTTCCACAGAGGGTTTCACCAGGAAGACGGGGAGCGAGACTTACGCAGAACTGCCTCTTGCAGTGCTGAAAAGAAAAACCAGAACAGAGCATCACCACCACAGCCGATTCCTTTTTCCCTGATACACTTGTTGGAGCGGGGAGGAGGCTGAAATTGCTCACGATGGAAAAGCTTCAGCCCAGGTGCTCCTCTAGACTTTCTTTCCCAAGACTTTTGGAGATCTTGCGCGCCCTTCCTGAACCCACCTTGGGCAGAGGCCAGCACGGCATCGCTGGAGACCTAAGCAAGGGCTCCAGCTACAGGGCAGCAGCGAAGGGGCAGGGTTGCATCCACAGGGGAGGAACGTGGGGTTAAATTTCACCTTCAGGGCTACCTAACCATCCTGCCCTGTATGTTTTTGGTGCTGAGACAAAGCTAAGGTCCCTGCAAAATGAAATATGCTACTCAAAATTTCCCTCCAGCTTTGGGAATAAACTTGAGAGCCCTTTGAAAAGCTAAACTCAGTGTTGGTACAACATCTTTTAATGCATTCTTTGGTTCTGCAATGATTTTCCTCAAAATTACAACATCATTTTATAATTTAATCATTTCATAAATTAATTTCACAGTTTTCTATAGCTGCTAACCATTTCCCTCCCCCAGGTCCAGCAGAAGTGTGCCCCATGAATTCTTCCATTGGACAGAATTCTCCAGTTTCTGGGAAATGGAAAGTAAAACTTACCTATATTTTTCTCGTGCTTTCCTATGAAGGAAAGAAAGAAATGCAAATAGTTTTTAAAAACATCCCTTGCAAAGAGCACTGTTTAAACCACAGTAGGAGTTGCGGGCACTTGCCAGGCAGAAGGGCTGTGGGGTCTGGACGCGCCGCAGTGCCTGCACGACCCACCACCTCCTTTTGGTAAGAAATAGAGGATTTCAGTCTCCTTTATTCCTCTGTACTTTTTACTCCCCGAGGGGTCTTTCAGAGGGAAAGGAGGCCCTGCCAGGCCCCCAAAGGTGCCAGAGGTTTTTTTGCAGGCAGAGGAATGGCTGGCTCACACCACTTTAATGCCCCCTTCCTTCTTTGCTACCCTTTTTGTTGGAGAAACAACTTTTATTTTCTTGCCCAAAATTAAATCCCTGGGTCTTTAAGTTGCCTGGCACTGCCTGTGTGTCCAAGACTCCGAGGCAAGACTCCAGGGTCATCTGGGCACTTCTCGAGCCCACTCGTTCATCAAAACCAGAGGCCCCTGAATAGGACGGCCGCCCGCCCAGTGCCCTTCCCCAAACACCGCGCCAAGATGATACCTTTAATTTTAAATAGATAAACAGCGACAATAAGGAGAGCAACCACAGCAACCAGAACCACGCCCAGAGCAGTCATCCAAGGATGGGCATTTTGGAAAAAGGGATCTGAAAAATAAAATCCCCAACGGGGTTAGGTTACTCCACAAGTAACAATGAGAAGTAGGTTATTTCGAATTCATACAAGCTCATCCCAAGCAGGTCTGAATCCCATTCAGGGTGAAAATCGGCTCCTGTCTACTCAACAGACTGATAAAAATGAATATATTAAAAAAAAAAAAAATCCATTTTGGCAATTTAACAGTTGTCCGAGGGTGATGATGTTTTGTCTGCATACAGTGAGGGGAATTTTTAAAAGGAAAATGGATTTCTAACCAAATTATTTCTAGTAAATCATACTTTCTTCTCCTTTGGAAAAAAAATATTTTATTTAATTAGGCAACATAGGATCAAAACCAGGGTAACATATGCATCAACATCAACACTCCAGGGCAGAGCAGTATCGCCAGGAGAAAGGTACAGGCTCCTCAGGGAAATAAAATCTCCCAAAATTGTTCGTTCCCAAAGTAAAAAAGGCATAGGATGAAGCTGAAAGGCACATGATACTGCAGAGCAGTTTGGTGCATGGTTAGTCCAGTTCACCATTTCATCTCTGTTCTGATATATTCCCTGCTCCAAGTCAATCTTCCAGTAAATTGGAGCTTTTCTGTGCAATAAGAAAAAAATAACAATATATTCAATATATGCAGGTGCTAAAATGAGACACAGTGATTTATTTCTCATACTGAACCAGTAGAACAGGATTTCACAGCAGGTGAGACTGAGGGCACAGACCGATTTCTACTTCTTGGTTTGGTTCCAGTGTTATGAATGTTTCTGTTTAAGCCAGGTGTCTGCTGAAACTCTGCTGCAATGGGGGCTGCCCTTTTTCCCCCCTAAACCCACGCTTCAAGACAGAACTGGTGAATTTTGGCAGCACACCTGCAACAAACACTGCAAAAAGCTGCAGCTGTTTGCGCTCGCGGTGTGCAAAACGCCCTCGGTGCACTGACCACTCAGTCTGCAAAACGCACCGGCGGTTTTCTGCCGAAGGTGCTTTCGGATCACAGCACCCTCGGGCACGTTACCGGGGCGGCCGCCTTGCCCTCTGCTCACCTGAGATGTAAAAAGCTGATCCCTGTTCCCGGCTGTGCAGGGCATGGCGGACCGAGCAGGAGAGTTTCTGGTTCACACCCCTGGTGAAGATTATGCTGCTTTCCACTGCAAAGAGTCCGCTCTGGTCCCGGGTGACAACTTCTGAGAGGGCTGGGAGATGCTGCCCGTGGGGGTCTTGCCACCGCACCTGGGGCTGCGGGTACCAGCCGGCCGAGCGACAGGCCACCCGGATCCCCCCGTCCTGGTAGTGCTCCAGCGTGATGAGCGGGGCAGAACCACTGGCTGCAGGAAAAGAGAGACCCTCGGGTGATCCGGCGGGACGCCAGGTACCAGGGCAGTAAGGTGGCCTGGCTGTTCCACTCCCGGACAAGAAGGGATAAACTTCGACATCGACAAATCTCAGGGTTTTTTTAAGACAAGTGTCAGCTGGAGTCAGGACATTTCTTGCAGTCTTTTTCACATGACTTGAAGATCTGTTCTGGAGGCTACTACTGCAGCAAAATAATCTGCAGGCCTGGGTAATAAAATGTAAAAGCACGAAGCAATACATTCTTACTTTATTACTCAATGTCAGACTATTTTCTTACACCCACTTATATGAAGAAAACAGTATCAAGAACACTTCTGAAGTAGATAGCATTTCTCACAAGCTCCTTACAGCCTCTCGGTAGGCAATGTTACCTCTCTGAGACATTCTTGGTATTTTCAACTATGGGACTTAATAAAATCCTATTTCCAAAGCAACTACCTGAAGTTGCGTCTGGGAAGGACAGGGAAGAGCACTGTCTGCAAGCAAGTAAATTAGAGATATCAGGGACATGGACTACAGACCTGTCACCTTCAGCTCCACCACAGCCTCATCATAATCCAAGCCCTGTTGAATAAAGCAGGTGTAATTCCCTTTGTCAGACAGTCGGACGTGGAAAATTTTCAAGTCCACGCTGCCCTTGGCGAGGCCATTCTTCAGCAGCTCGGTGCGCCCTTGGTATTGAAGCATCTGCTCCCCGTACTGGTCTTGGCCCCCCTTGTAGCGATGCACAAAGTGTGAGAAGTGCTCCCGAAACCAGACCACCTCCACGTCCCGTGTCCCCTGCTTCAGGGAGAAGTGGCAGGGCAACACCACGTCCTCGCCCATGGCCACGATGATGGGGCCAGGGGGTCCTGTCACGTTGAGCAAAGCTGGGAGAAACCATGAGAGGAAAAAGAAATAACCGTGACTTTGCTGTGGTGACTGAGCCCGGAGAACCAGCGGCTGCTGCTCCGAGTGGTTCGTGTGGTGCTGGGCTGAGCCATCGTGTCGGCAGCGTAACCGCGCCGGGGACAGGGCACTGAGGGGAGGGCTGGGAGAGGGGCCCCTGCCCCGCAGCACGGCGAGCAGGAAGGTTCCTTCTGTCCTCAGGGCACCACGTCCTGCCACGCTGCTCAGGGTGGGGACAAAGGAGGAGAAGGAATGAAGGAAGCCGTTGGAAGGTTTCTGGGTGACTGGCTGGAGAAAGCAGACAACTTGGGTACAAATAAAACTCAAATATCTTCAGCTATTCGTGCCTATTACAAGAGAAAACAAAAACATCTCAGGTGCTCTGAGTATCTTTGGAAATTAAAAAAGAAAAGGTTTATTAATAGGCTGGCCACGGAGAAAGTGGTTTCTGGCTGAAGGAAAACAAAAGCAAATCAACTTTTTTTTTTCAAGGTAACTTTTGAGTCAAATGTTGTGCTGCATCCTTTTGCCAGGGCTGCCTTGAAGAAGCTACTTCAGGTCAGCAATCTAACAGAAAAAGAGCTCAGAATATTTGTAAGGGTTTTTTTTATTTTATTTTTCCCTTTATCGACTTTGTTCTACAAAGGGTCCAGTGCATACTGGAGACAGCCCAGTAAAGTCATGACATGCTGGGAATATGCTGGGAACAGGGAAAGCAGGGAGGGAAATGGCAGTAGACTATAATCAACTCATTGGCATCTTCTTGATGACACCGAGCTGTGCAGTGCAGTGACACGCTGAGGGCAGGGATGCCATCCAGGGGGACCCGGGCAGGCTGGGGGGGTGGGCCTGTGAAAGTCTCACAGAGTTCAACACGGCCAAGGGCGAGGTCCTGCCCGGGGGTCGGGGCGATCCCCAGCACAGACCCAGGCTGGGCCCTCGAGGAGGGGATGGAGAGCAGCCCCGAGGAGAGGGGCTGGGGGGGCTGGGGGGGGGAAAACTGCCCGTGAGGCAGCCCCGTGCGCTGGCAGCCCAGAACCCACCCGTGCCCTGGGCTGCAGCCAGAGCAGGGGGGGCAGCAGGGCCAGGGGGGGGATTGTCCCCCTCTGCTCCGCTCTGGGGAGACCCCCCTGCAGTGCTGGGGCCAGCTCGGGGGCCCCCAACAGCAGAAGGACCCGGAGCTGCTCGAGCGGGGCCAGAGGAGGCCACGGAGATGCTGGGGGGGCTGGAGCAGCTCCCCTGGGGAGCCGGGCTGAGAGAGTTGGGGGGGTTCAGCCTGGAGAAGAGAAGGCTCCGGGGAGCCCTTCGAGCGGCCTCCCAGGGCTTAAAGGGGGGGCAGGAGAGGGGGGGAGGGACTCTGGGTCAGGGGGTGGGGGTAGGATGAGGGGGGGCGGTTTTGCACCGAAAAAGGGCAGATTTAGGTGAGCTCTAAGGCAGAAATCCTTCCCTGTGCGGGGGGTGAGGCGCTGGCCCAGGGTGCCCAGAGCAGCTGTGGGTGCCCCCTCCCTGGAAGGGTTCAAGGCCAGGTTGGACGGGGCTGGGAGCCCCCTGGGCTGGGGGAAGGGGGCCCTGCCCGGGGCAGGGGGGTGGGACTGGGGGGGTCTTTAAAGGTCCCTTCCAGCCCAAACCAGTCCTTGATTCTATGATCTAATCTTCACCTGAGCTCAGCGAGGTTGTGCTAATGCCTGTGCTGACGTGGCTGGAGGAATAGACCAGGATCCAGAAGGATCTCAAAAGTGGACAATGTTTATGGCAAAGGGCCTGACCCTCCTCTGTGCTCTACCCTTCACAGGGAGTTGCCAAACTTGCAACCGTGAAAATATTCAGTCTAGAAGCAATGCCACAGGGATCATCAAGAACCAGGGGGATCCTTACCTGACTGCAGCTCATGAACTTGGAAAACTAAACCGTAAAGAATAAAAGCCAGCAGAGAGCAGTGGAGGTAGAAACGAGAGAGCATCTTTGCTGGAGCACAACCTGAAGATGGGGAAGAAAAGTGAAAGGACAAAAGTTAGCAGAAACAAGTAATAAATAATAATTTTTTAAAAAGCAGAATTCACTTTTAAAGAGGTTTATTGCTGATTGCAGCCCTTTTTTATAATGTCAAGGGAAGACCCTCAGATGCCAAAGGCTGAAATCCATTTTCCATCATCAGCCTGACTTTGCTTGGTGCTCTACACACAAAGTACCCAAAAGCTGTAGGAATTTCCCATGGGGAAACAACGGACAAGCTGCAACACCTCCGCTAATTCCATGAAAAAGTAGCAGTTGTTCTAATATGGAGCCCTTGCTTTTCTTATCCAGCCGTAAAGAAGAGATGGAAAGGCACAGGACAAGAAAGAGAAACCCAGCCCGAATCCATGTGGAACCGGGGAGTCGGGAGCACGTCCCCTGCCACCTCACTGGCGGCAGGAGGAGGTCACAGAACAGGGAAAGTAAAATAACCAAAACACCCAGCCAAGATGGGACCTGGACCTGCTCTGAACCCCTCCCAAGCACTCTCACCGCTCTCTGATTTAGTCCCAGCTTTGTTAGTGAGAGGTGAAAACCACGACCAATTTTGGCAGATGGCAGAAAGCGATTTCAATCTGCAGCTTTCCGAGAGATGCTGCGTACCTGGAGGCTCAGCGCTCTTTCATGGGCTCTGGGCTGGGGCAGGAGCTGCTTCGCCGTCACCCGGTGTGTCTGGAGGGCTCATCCCAATCCAAGGCAAGCATTTCCCTGTCTGAAACCCAAACGAAAATGTCACTCTGCGTCCCAGCCTGCCACTCGTTTCCTCCTGCGCTGCCTTCAGTCAAAAATGAAAGTAGCTCAGTGATTTGGCCTTTTTTGACAATGCTTTTGCTCCGGAAGTGCTCTTCTGGCAACAGTCACAGGCACGTCACAGATGCTCTCCACAGCCACGTATCGCAGCCCTCTCCCACGGCTCCTCCCGGACTTGGGAGGGGATGGATCCTGGCAGCAGTTTGCACATCCCTGGGAACAGCCTGGAGCCCGTGGGAAGGAGGGAAGTGATGGAGCTGGGATTCACACCCAGAGGCAGTGCCAGGGCGGGAGCAAAGCCCAGCACTAACTTAAAAATTGCTTACGAGCAATTCCCACCCTGGCCAAGAGGAGAAGCCATCGAGGATGGTGTGTTCAGGGAAAGCTGCTGCTCTGAGATGTGTCACGGAGGCAGCCCCACCGGGTGCTCGGTCCGGCCGGGTCCAGCACCCTCCCACCCCCAGCCAGGAGCAAGGATGCACGTGGGAGGTGAGAGCATCTGCCCGGGTAAAGGGACCCAACTAGGAACCTTGCCAAAAGAGAAGGCAAGGGAAAGAGTGAGGTGATAAACGAAACGTGCAGAGACAGAGACACAGACCTGTCCGACAAATGATAGCAGGGAGAAGTATAATAAACCAACCTCATCATGCATGCTAATCACTGGGCTACCACAAATCCGCAGGCACCATTTCAGGGAGGGCCAGCCTGGCTTTTGAGACTAAGGATGCAAAGCTAGGGATCCCAGACACTGGGGGGTGTTGGGGGAACTATGTGAATAGCTAAAGGCATGTGCAGCGAATATGCATGTTTTTGTATCATAAATGATGCCCGCTGCATGATATGGTGTGCAAGCTCGGAGGAGCAATCCCCCCTTGCACCCAGCACTGCAATAGACATACCTGCTTTCTAACTCTTTGTGAGTTGTAAAGTCTGTTTCCGCACGTCAGGCAAGTCGGAGTCCCCGTGTCCAGGCAGGGGTATCAGGCAGGTGGGGGGGGTCCATGCTGGTGTCTGGGGGGGCCCACGAGTGTGGGGTGTCTGTGGGATGAGTGTGTGGGTGTTGCATATTTGCAGTGAGCATCGAGCTGGACCAGCTGGCGAGTTGAGGACTGTGGAGGGGGGGTGTCAGAGAGCCTGGGGTCTGGGCAGGGGTACCAGGCAGGCAGAGGGGCTGTGCTGCTACTCAAGGGATCTGCAAATATGCACATGAACCCAGAGCATGTCACGTGTGTGCCTGCACGAGTGACCTCCTGCCTCTGCCAGACGGGAGGTGGATGCCTGTGCAGGTGGGTGATGTGGGTGCTGCTGAAGGAGCCCTTTGCCTGCAGCAGTGTGACCGGCCACGTCAGTGTGTGTGTCCAGGATACACATTTAACTTTGTCACAGGAGGCTCAGCAGCAGCTGACTGCACGCAGTGGAGGTGAGCAGCACCACTGTGACTGGCCCATGTCACCAGGTGACAGTGGTCCCTGATGAAATAGTCCCCTCTGAGCCAGCCTGTCCCCAGTCCTGCCTTCCCAGGCCCCTGTCCCACCACCAGGCAGTGGAGCCATTGGCAGCAGGTCCCCTTGCACTCTGCTTTATGCGCTCAATCGATGGCTTTCAGAGTGATGTGACAAAGCAGAGTGGGTGCCACCTCCCGAGTTCCCTATGTGCAGGGGAGGAGTTTGGGGGGGGCCGAGGCGGGACGCCATCACCCCTGGGCACACAGAAAGCTGCCTGGAGGACAGAGGTGGGTTGCAAAGCCCAGCAGCTGCTGTCCCTCATTTACCAGTTAGGCAACTGAGGCAACACATGCCCTGCAAACATCTTCACCCTGAAAGCCCTTGGCAGCATGACAAATCTGGGCAAGCAGTGCCTGTAAGGAGCCAGACCTCTTCCCTTATCACAGTACACAGCCTGGACACCCAGAGCGGTGGCGGTGGCCACACACCGGTCTGTGGCTGGTGCCCCCAGTGACGTCCCACCGGCTGGCAGCGCGTGTGGTGCCGCCGACCCAGGAGGGCTCCGAGCACCCTGCTGCAGGAAGATACAGCCTCCTTCAGCGGTGCAGCAGGCTCTTATCACCCACCTGCAGCTGGCTGAAGGGAGGGGAGATGCGGCAGCTCCTATGATGCAAACGGTATGAGGGCACTGCAGGAACATCGGGAGGGAACTCCCAAAGTCAAGTGTTAGACAAGGTCACTCCCCCGAGGTGGGAGCTCCTGTGGTGTGGTCCCCACAGAGGGGTGAGGGTGTCAGGCTCCCAGCTGTGCTCTCCAGGCCACCCGGTCCCTCTGGACTTTGATCTGCTCACCCGCACAAGCTGGAAATGCTGTGCAAGCTCAGTCCAGCCATGAGCTGATGAGGAGATCAGGGGGGTGGAGAGCAGACTGAAGACCCTCAAACCCACCCAAAACCTCCTTTCCTGGAGTCAGCCTGAAGGTGAGTGCTGGCTGTCTGAAAAGTGCCTGTGTGCTGTGACTTTCCCATCACACCTTCTGCTTCTTTATCACCTTTAGGCAGTCTCTGAGTCTTGCAATTTCCACTTTCATCAGGGAATCCTGCCTCACTGCCTGTTGATTCCTGCAGACATTAGTACACAAGATGGAAAGACAAGAGAGTGAGACACGGGTAAACGAGGTGGAGGAGATGTGTGGAAGAGGTGAGTTTTCAGAAGGGAAGAGGAGGGGGAACTGTCCTCTGTTGAGGAGAAAAATGCATCTTGCTTCTATTGTGGAAGAACCATTTAGGGTCAAAGCACCTGGGGCCTGTCCCAGCCTGGGCTTCTCATGGAGTTGGGATTTGGTGACTGCAACACCCCCAGCTGAATTCCTTGTGCTTATCTGTAGATGCAACACCAAAAACACCCGAGCTGCCATCCTTGGCTCCCTCCATTGCCCACAGAAAGAAACAGGTTTCCGGGGCCATGAGTTCTTGGTCTTGGGGTAATGTCTATCATGTTCTGCACTAGTTTGTGCCCAGACGTGCCTGTTTCGCTCTTGCAGCACCAGAGACATCCAAGCTCAGGTCCGGGTGTCTGCACGGCAGATGTGCACCCATCCACTCAGGTTCATCCTCCTCCAGGAAACTGAGGTCTCTTTGGCCAGGGATCGCATGAAAACTCCTGGAGCAAGAGCAGGATTAGGGCAGTAGAGAGGCTGGGGCAGTCCAGCACGAGGGCATTTCCCACCCCACGCTGGACATCTCTGGGCATAGGAAAGGAAATCGCCCGTCCCTTCTCCTGCTGGGGTGGATGCAGCCCTGGGGCTGCCTGATCTGAGCAGCTTCTCTCCCTCTGTCCCCAGTCGACGTGACCCTGGACCCAGATACCGCCAACCCCTTCCTCATCCTGGCTGGTGACCAGCGAGGCGTGGGACGAGGGGACGAGTGGACCTTGCTGCCCAACAATCCCGAGCGGTTCGACATGGAGCCATGCGTGCTGGGCAGCCAGGCCTTCGCCACGGGGAGGTACTGCTGGGAGGTGGAGGTGGCCAACGGCGGGGACTGGTGGGCTGTGGGGGTGGCCCAGGAGTCTGTCAGGAGGAAGGGGGTCCTCAGTTTTGCCCCTCAGGAGGGGATCTGGGCTGTGGGGCAGTGGTTTGGACAATACCATGCTTTCACTGAGCCTGACTGGACCCCCTTGCACCTTGCCTGCCTCCCCAGGGCCATCCAGGTATGCCTGGACTTTACAGACAGGCAAGTGGCATTTGCTGACGCTGAAAACAAAGCCTCAATCTTTGCTTTCTGCCTGACTTCATGTCCCAGGGAGAGGCTACACCCATGGCTCTGGGTAGGGATGGACTCGTGGCTCAAGCTGTGCCCCTGACGTGGAGGGAGCGTGAGTGGCGGGAGGGAGACTGGAAAGGCAAACACCATCATCTTGGGACTTGGCACTGGGAGGGTCCCGTGTCCTGCCACTTTCTTCTCTCATGGTTCCTCTAGCGACCAAGGGGGAGGACTGGTAGGTCTTGGAGATGGATGCCACCGCAGGTCCCCTCCACCCACAGCTGGGACTGCAGCAACAATGGGGAGCACAGAGATTCGGTGCGTGTAGGAGTTTGGTGCCAGGTATCCCCAGGGCGGAGAAGTAGCATTGAATACCAGGGCATAGCAGAGCTGCTCTGTACAAGGCCATGAAAAATACAGCAGCTTCAAACTCCTTCAGAGGTGCCAAAGTAGTATCTCTGGCTTTTCTTCAGTTAAGATTAATGAATAATTTGAAGAAAAAACCCAAACATAGCTGGATGCTGGAGCTCATGCTAACACTTGTATTCACACATCCAAAGCCCCTCCTTGCCTTATTTCCAGTTCACACACGTATGTGCATTAAGCACATTTCTTACAGAACAGCACTAGCAGAAGCTGCAGGAACAGCCAAGGGAGGTAAGCAGGTGTCTGAAGTCCACAGGCGAGGCAATTCCCACAGTTCAGCTCTCTAATCTCCCCCCATCAAGGTCTCCTTTTCCTCACATAGAAAAGACCAGACTAGACTAGTTCGGGTGGAAGGGACCTACAACGATCATCCAGTCCAACGGCCCGACCACTTCAGGGCTGACCGAAAGTTAAAGCTTGTTATTAAGGGCATTGACCAAATGCTTCTCACACCCTGACAGGCTTGGGGCATCAGCCACCTCTCGAGTGTTTGATCACCCTCTCAGTAAAGAAATGCTCCCTAATGTCGTCTGAACCTCCCCTGGTGCGGCTTTGAACCACTCCCAGGGGCCCGATCCCTGAACCCCATGGAGAAGAGGTCAGCACCTCCTCCCCCTCTTAGGAAGTTGTAGAGAGCAATGAGGTCACTTCTCAGCATCCTTTTCTCCAAACAAGACAACCCAGAGTGCTCAGCCACTCCTCAGAGGACACACCTTCCAGCTGTAGATCTGCTCCAGAGACCTGAGATTTTGGGGAAATGCCGTTCAAAGGACATGCTAGACCTGGAAAAGGGGGGAGGGTCCCCACTCCCAGAAACCTTGTTTTGTCACCTCCTGCTAACTCCTGCTCTTAGGAGAAGAAAAGATCTACTTGTTTGGCTTATTTTTTTTTACCCAAGAGGGTCCCGGGCAGAAGCACCCCAGAAATGAGCAGATTTGGGCATTTCTGTTCTCCTTCTGCAGGATTATATGGAGGTAGTAAGTAACACTGCAGCTGGAGACTGTGCTTTATTTCAGGGCATTTTTTTTTTCCCCTCTCACCTATTGTTCTTCTCTCTTTAAGACAAGAAACTGAGAAGCATGCATGAACCTGAAATACAAATATTATCTCTTAGTTTGATACTGGCTTGGAATAGGATGGAAAAGCTTATTCTTCTCATTTGCCCTGTGCAAAATAACTGCAGTTCCTCATTACCGGAATGTTTCTGGAATCTGAGAGTAAATCTCAGGCGTTTAAAACATGCATAGCTTAGCCCACTTTTTTCTTTTAACGCCATTCTAGCCATTGGGCCTGGTCACCTGTGTGACTAGCCAAGCAGGTGTCCCAGTTGTGTGCCAACCAGCGGGCTGGGCCACAGGGCCCCGGGTCCTGCGGAGAGATCCCAGCCACCAGCACACACCCGCAGAGCCCCCAAACCAATCCTGAAATGCGAGGGGCTGCTCTGGAGCAGAGAGCACCCTCCTTGTCACGGGAAACACTCCAAAGGACTTGTCCTGTGTGGGGAAGAACACCTACCTCAACCAAGAAAAGGAAACTGCTTTCTGAAATCCAGCTCAGTCACTCTGACATGGGCAGGGTGAGACTGAAGGAAAGCTGGGTTTCTCAACAGATTGGTGCCCTGGGTCCTCTTCACTGGAATTTTGTGGTTTGGAGGGTGAGAAAAGGTTTAATGGGCTCTTTTTTGCTGTGCTTCCCCCAGTTCCCCCCCAAAAAAACAACAAAAGCCCCAACTCTTCGGCAGCTGAGTTGCATTATTGCAGCATTTTGGTGAGAAATACAAGAGTTTCACGTAGGATTGCACCATGAAGACTTACTGAAGTTTAAATTGAGCTCTCTTGCACGAGAGGTATCCTAGCATTTTGGTGCCACTGCAGGTAGGAAGCCTTCAGCACTGTAGAAGTCTGGAAAAGCGAGGTGTGCGGGGTTTCTGCGGCGCGGTTTTTTTGGTAGCAGGGGAGGGGGCTACAGTTGTGGTCCCTGTGAGAAGGTTCTCGAAGCTCCCCTGGTTCCAAGCTGGACCGGCCTCTGGCCAGGGCAAAGCCGATCAGCTGCAGCGCTGCGATAACGTATTTAACAAGGGGAACCTGAGAGGGGACGGGGACGCGCGAGGAGGAGCTCCAGGACAAACGCCCAAGTCAGCGGAAGGAAGGAGCGGGACGTGGGGCAGCAGCCCCCGCTGCTGTGGTTCAGTGCTGGGAGGGCTGGAACACGCGGGGCGGGGGGACCCACGCGGGAGCAGCTCGGGAACGGCTGCGGCCCGTGGGGATGATGCACGCGAGGGAAGGTTGGCGGAGGGCTGTCTGCAGTGAGAGGGGAGCAGGGGCGGGATGTGCAGCGTTCAGCCCACCGCCCGAGCAGGAGGGAGTGATGAGCTGGCTGTGCCCCCCATCCCCTGCCCCCTGTGCCGCTGGGGGAGGAGGGGGAGAGGTGGGGAGCAGAGCTGAGCCGGGGAGAAGGGAGGGGTGGGAGGAGGTGTGTTTGGATGTGGTGGCATTTCTTACTGTCCCCCCTTGTCTGTCAAGCGTTGCTTCTGTTAGCATTTGAATTAAAGTGATGATCTTTCTCTTCCCCTAATGAGTCTGTCTTTTGCGGTAACTATAATGGGGGAGCTACTCCTCCCTGTCCCTAGACGGATTCTTTGAGTCATTTCTCCTTCACATCCTCCTTCCCATCCCTGATGGGGGAAGGAGTGAATGGCTTCGTGGTGCTGGCTTGCCCTCTGAGCTCAAACCAGGACAGAAGGCTAGACTAACACGGGTCCTCTAAAGGGCACGCTTCAGGGGGCAACGTGAGCCAGGCGCCCAGCGCCTGCGTGGACAGCTCGTCACTGTGACCAAGGGAAGGCGTGGGGCCAGCAGCCGATGCACCGCCTCACCGGTCGGCGACTGGACATGGGGGGCAGCGGGTAACTCCTGAGGCCCACGGTCCCGCCAGCACCAAGGTGGGGGCTGTTCTGGCAGCAGCGGCAGAGCAGGGTGCTGATCAGACCTACGTGATACTCCCTGTTCACAAGAGAAAATTCTGCAGCAACAGGCAGTGGAGGCACCTCAATAAACAGATTTTTCCCAATGCTGGTCTGTGTCAGAGATGCTTCAAACAAATCCTGCTCGCATTTGGTAAGTTCTTCCGAGCAGCCATGAATTAAAGTCAAACCTGTTAAAATGTGTCTCCTTCTCTAACAGTGACCCCCTCTTTCTCTGGGTTTTCTGTTTCTTTTACACTCCTCTGGCTGCTGCTGCTTTTTCTTCTCCCCATCTTGGGCAGGTTGCTGTGGTGCAGCACAGTTTTATTTTAAAGGACTGGGGTGGTCCTTCTCCCCAGGAACACGACGACACTCTCTCTTCTAAAACTTTTTTCCTTTTAACATAAACAAGCCCAGAGCACTCTTGATTTGCCAGCTTGTCCAGGAAACACATCGTCCAAGGTCTTGCCCAAGGGCTAAGGCCTTTTCCAGGGCCGTGGAAACATCTTAGAACATTGTTTTTGCAGTGGCATTTCCAAAATGCGGCTTAACAATGTCCACCCCCCCTCTTCAAAAGCGGCGCAGCCTTCCTAACCAGGCTCTGCAGTACAGGCCCAATGCCCCCCCCCGGCTAGGGGCTAAGGGCAGGGCTGGGACTCCTCCTCGCACCATGGAAAAAGGACAGATGGGTGCGTGGGTCTCTGCCCCCCGATGCCAGGTCCAGGCACCCTGCCCCACACCCCACTGCGGTCCCGGAGCCAACCGCGCCGCGCGCCCCAGCAGCGTGGATCCCCCTCGCCCGCCCTGCACCCTTGCCAGGGCTCGGGCAAGAGAAGAACCCAGCGGGCAGGCCTGGCGTCTCCCACCACCCTGGAGTGCAGGGCCGGGCCAGGCTGGCCGGGCAGTTCACTGCGGGAGCTGCTGTGGAGCCACAGCCCAGGGAGCGCTGGGATCACCCTGAGCAGCCCCACACCCACCGTCTGGAGAGGTCGAGAGGACTCCCTTGGCCAAAATATCACCGCCTTGCTCGGCCCGCCCCAAGGAGGCTTCCGGCTGCAGACAAGAGAAACCTGCCCATAAACATGACAAAAAGCCCTGAGCTCTGTGCTGCTCTGTCTCAAATATGAACCCTTCCCCCAGGAGAGCTGCCTAGCGCACCCTGGGAAGCCAGCACACAGGGCTTGCTGTCAGGAAGGCAGCCCAGGCACGTCAGGCCCTCCCATCTCCAGTAACAACACGGCAGCCCAAATGTTGTCTCACTTTTATTTACATAATTGCACAGCCCGTTTCCCCATGACACTGGAACGTGGCGGGTCAGAGACACGGATTTCCCACATCCACGAGCTGAACGTCTCCTCTCAGGAGAAGACTCAAAGAGTCACTCTGGGTTTTGCAGGGGCACATGCAACAACTCCAATTATTGGAAACTACAATAAAGACAACAAAGCTGAGAGTGAAGCCATGGCCACGCAGCAGCACGAGGCCAGGCCCCAGCCGCCCCCAGCCACGGACTTCTGGCTTTCACAGTTGCATATTTGGATCGATAGTGGGTTTCCTAACTGAAATACTGGCTCCGTTAAATCCTTACCAGGGGAACATGGTGTGGGAGTGCACATCCTTCATTACCTGCCAGAACTAGACATGTTGCAAGACCAAGCTCCTGGGAGGCGGCCAGGGCTGGGAAGGTTAAACTAAATCCCCAAATTTTTCTTCACTGGGAATGTCCTGGTGACGCAGAGCTTGTGGGGGAGGGGCTGAAGGAAGGGGTACCCAGGACAAGGCACAGAGCAGTGGTGCAGCACTGACTGCCAAGGGAAGGGGTGCACAGAGGGAGGCAGCGCCTGTGTGGCAGCTCCACTCCACCAGCTGATTCGAAGCAGGGACCGTAACTGCAGCTGGGCTGAAGGGGCCTCTCTGCACTGCAAACCTCCAGGAGCACCGGGGGCCAAGTCACCCCTGCATGACAGGGAAAAAGGAAAGGTGCCCACAGGTACGTGGCAGAAGGGAAGAGACAGGCAGGGAGGCTGGCAGAGAGAGGGGGGCAGAGATGCACAGTCTGGTTGTGGCAGAAGATATTCACCCCGTGATCGAATGAGACCCTCATGCTCAGAACAGAGACCAGCTTGAACCAGCCCCCGGGGGCCCAGAGCTGGGCAGAAAGAGGCTGCTGCAAGATGTACTGGGGCATCACTGAGTTGCATGAAGCCCCTGGAACAGGAGACAGAAGAGCAGACACAGACTGGGCTCCAGGGCTGGAGCAATCCTGCTGGCGACCGCAGGACACCAGCCCCTGCTGCTCATGCTACCAGCAAGTTCCAGCCTAGGCTCATGCCAAGCAGCTGCACGTGGAGCAGTCAGCAGGGCAGTGCCAACACCGGTGTCATTACGGCCCACGCCACTCGGGGCCCAGGAAAGCACAGCACCAAGCACAGGCATCGTCTGGCAGGGTGGGGAGGCAGTAAAGAGGGCAAGGACTAAAGCAAAACCTTGGCAGACTGGGCGCTCCAAGACAGAGGGAATCGTTAGCTCGATGTGCTGGGAACACAGGTGGATGAAGGAGGAGGAGGAACGCCAGCCCTGCAGAAGGGACCCAGGGTGTGCTCCCTGGGAACCAGCCACCCTGGGGTGCTTCACTAGAGGACACGTAACAGGCAGACAGTGCTTTCAGGGATGAACCAAATCACAGCAGCAATTCCAGCGGCTGCCGAGGAACGTGCAAATAAGCTCAGAGAGACAGCTGAGACAACCCGTGTCCTGCCGAGCAGCTGCAGAGCACGGCCTGTCCCGTAACGCAGGTGTGTAACCGATACTACCAGAGGTCCAGCCTCAAGGTGGTGAAAGGACATCGGCAAACAGAGACTCCAACTCTCACCTTTTGGGGTCAGGAAAGCTCCTTTCTGAATCTTTTAAAAGCAAAGGCAATGGTGGGTTTAGCTAGTACAAGCCATCACTTCCCCCCTCAGATCCTCCATCTACCTTTGCCAGACATACCAAGAGCTGAGTGCATCCGAGTCCTGGGGATGAGCCAGGATCTGCAAGGAAAGCATTTTGTGAGATCATGTCTGCACAGGAAGAAGATTTTCTCGTTTTGAAACTTACTTTGAAATTCTCAAAATTACATTACTTTACAATACAAAATATCTCCGTTCAGTATTATGTCATTTTACTCCTGGGATTATAATAATTATTAAAAACACACAACTTTCTAGAAAGGACAGAAACACCACGAAAGAGACCAAAGAGTAATAGGAAAGGCTGCTGCAGTATTATCAAAACCAATTTAGTGCAAAGGAAAAGGGGACTTTCAAGAACAGTCAATGAAAAGTGTTCTTTATATGCTCATTTGGAGAAAAGGCATAGATTTAACCTCTGTATGAGATCAGGCTGCCAGCTTCTATACTGAAGCTTAGAACATCAACACAAAAGGACTGAAACACAATATGAATGGCCATTAAAAAATAATATTATATATAGATATATATATATATATATATAGAAGGAGATATTTTCCACGTATGGTATCTAGTTATAGGAAAGTGTCCCTGCAGATGGGCGTATTCTGCCATCTGGATCTTTTGGGCCGTTTCACATGACAGACGTTGATTATCTGTCTGTTTGACATAGTATAAAGTGCATGCTGACCGCAAAGTCCCTTCGGGTGGGATGATTGTTTTCTAGTGCCTCCACCGCTGCTGCACGTCCTGCACATGGGGGGACACCCGACCCTCTTCGCCCCCGCCAGCCCCCGAGGACTGCCCTCAGCCCAGCGGCCGCGGGAGGATGGCTCAGACGGTGGTCTCATCCGCGGTCTTCTTCATGAGCTTGGCGGAGAGGAGGGAGTGGGGCAGAGGGTGAGGGCTCCGCGCGGCCGGGATCATCAAGCGGACTTTCTGGTTGGTCCTCCGCCACTCCGAGTACAGCTGGCAGTGGTAGCGGAACGAAACCTGGCGGGCGACAGTGCACCGGTCTGGTTACCAACCCCCCGCCACAGGCGCTCAGACACAGCCACCCACCCTCTGCACGCTCGCCGCATCCTCCCTGTCGGCCCACCAGCACCCCCGGCCACGGGACAGAGCACTCACCCTGAAGCGCCGGGGCACTCCCGGCCCCAGGCCCTTGGCGGGGATCCGTCAGTCGCTAGCGACACCAGGCTGAGCCTGGCGCAGCCGAAGGGGCTTCCTGGGCAGCGCCAGGACAGAGGGACAGAGTTTGCCCAGCTGGGTTTGGGTACCGGGCCAGAGATGTGGCAGGGAGGAACGGCAACTCACCCCTTCACCCCAGCCACGGGCTGAAGCGAGCACCTTGCCGGGGCAAGAGGAGGGGTCCCCAACAGGCCCAAAGGCGTGAGCTGGCCCCGCAGCTCCAGAGCAGCCTGGCAAGGGGGGGCCCCCAGCTGCGCCCCCCCAGCAGGCCGGACTCCTTGCTGTGTGCCTTCACAACCACTAACACCACTACAGACTTCCTCACAGCTCCTGCTGACTCCCTAGCCTTGAAATGAAACTTTGATAGAATTTCTTCAGGAAGGAATAAAACCAACCTGTATTTTCCTCCTATTTATTCCTAGAAATGGCAAGAAAGAAAATTAAATACTGGATCCAGTCAGCCACTCATGAAAACCAAGCTTTCGTATTTTGTAAAAGTACAGGAAATATTTAGCGGGCTAGCAGGAAGCACCAGGAAGGATATCTGACAAGCAAATGTCCGTATTCCCATTACTTTTGGATAGGTTGCAGACATCTGCTATGAGAAATGGAGCTGTGCCAAAACATTAAAGTAATTTAGTTTACTGATCTGTGCACTCCCCTTTTTCTTGTTGTAGAGGAACAGCTGTGGGAATAAGGTTGTTTGCTGATAAACAATAAGTAAATGCATCTCATGGTCTTCAGAGACAGCATGTGAATGGTGCAAACTGAGGAAAGCTCCTGCTCCACAGGAAGGAGCTGCAACCTTGGCGAGGGCCTCCTGCAATCCTCACACTGATTACAGCCATCACCACCCACGCACTGATCCGCCCTTTGTGCAGCACAGCCCATGGCTGCAGGGCAGAACTGCAGTTGAATATGCTAAACGTGAATAAAGGGGCTTCACTTAATGCCCTTCTCTGTCCAAGGAAATGTGAGGCACAGCAGAACTAGAGCTATTTTAGTCAGGACTCATTATTTCACAAAACAACGGATTTTTCTGTTTCCTCCAGATTTCCACCTCCTTCAGAGCAGTCCTGGGACAGAGCAGATGGAAGCACTTCCTCTTAAGGTTTCTCTGAGAGATCAGAGCATGAGACGACAGGGAAATGGGATGTGTCATTTCTGCTGCCCACAGAACTGCCAGCTTCTTGTGGTCCCACTACTCCTCCAGCAACCGCACTTCTTCCCTTCCCAAAAGAGTGCTTCCCAGCAAGCAGCTGGAAAAGAGTATCAACAGTGCACGGAGTACACACAGGGCTGTGAGTGACAGAGCTGAAATGAAGATCCAAACCCAGAAACCCACCTAGCAACAGAACACAAAAGAACCGAAAGGGAAACAGGGAAATCCCTGGCCTGGGAGCCCGGGCCAGGGATGCCCCAAGGGGTCAGGGAGCAGCAGGACAGGGAACTGTTCCCCATCCCAGCTGCTCCTCTGGGCTCTCAGCTGGGAGCAGTCACAGATGTGCTACACAGCAAATTCACATTTGCTTTCCTGCTCTTCTGGACTCACCCCAAGCTGCAAGTTCCTGGCTGCCTAATTCAGCATGTCCAAAAAGATGCAAAGCAAGGCATCTGCAGGAGGCTCTTTCCCAGCACGGATCAGTTCAACACCCCCACAGTGTCAAGTGCAGGTTCCCACCAACGCCCAGCACCTCCAGCCCTGGCAGCACAGCTATAAAGCCCCAGCAGTGCACCAGGGCAGGCTCAGGGCTCAAGTCCAAAAGCTCACTATGAGAGAGAAGTCAGAGGTCTCCCCAGGGCTGGAGTGTTCCTTGCACACACCCTTCTGTGCTACTGACTCCTTAAAGATACTGTGTATGAATTTGTTTAGCTGTGGGCCACAGAGGCCCACAACAGCCAGTCTGCGCTTCCTGCAGGGACAGCCAACCTGTGCTGGGCAGCAGAAAGCATGGAGGGACGTGATGACAGATTATTTAGGGGTCAAACATTTTCCAGATTTTATTTTTCCTCTAAACCACCTGGGTAACAAGTTTGTGTTTCTTCTTGAAAACAGGACTGCTGCCTGCCCCCAGCACCAGACCTTCCCACCCAGCCCCAGTCACACTTGGCATGTCTGTGCCCGGGTACATGGCACCCCAGGGAACACAGCTCCCATGTCAATCTGGAAAGCAGATGATCAGGAAGTGGTTTCTCATTCTCAGGAACAAACTTTAGCAGCTCCCATTTGAAGATAATTAAATGGACGTTCAAGAGAAAGAGGCCAGGGTTTTCTCACAAGGGGAGTCAGCAGTGGCTGGCTGCACTGATGTGGTACGAGCCAGTACTTCAGTCTCCCTGTTGAACAGAAACAAGGCCCTGGGCAGCAGACACTTACCAGCGTCCAAAGGACGTAGATTGTGAAAAGTGCTATAGTTAGTGCTATGAGTCCAATGGCCTCCAGTCGGCTGTTGAACTGCAAATGATCCTGGGCTCCACGCAAACACAGCCAGCCAGAGATCGCTGCCAGGGGAGTAATGAACAGGAAACACACCATGTCGCAGAAAAGGGTCCTCTTTTCATTCCGGGGACCAGGATCCTTTAGCCACTGCAGGAAGGAAGGGAAAAAGAGCGTTAGTCAGCAGCACATAGAGCACACAGTATGCTAGCAAAACAGGACTGCTACGCTGGGAAGCTCTCACATGCTCTCTGCAGTCTGTACGTACCTGGTACAGACACTTCACTCACATAAACCTACGCAAAAATAGAGCTAGGGAGCGTCAAGTGTATTTTTAACAACCAACAAGGGAAAGGGAAGAGGCAACAGAAGAATACGTGCAGGGGAAGCGTGTTGGGCTTGTGTGGCAGCGGGTTTTGGTAACAGGGGAGAGGGCTACAGTGGTGGCTCCTGCAAGAAGCTTCTTGAAGCTCCCCTGGCTCCAAGTTGGATCTGCCTCTGGCCAAGGCCAAGCCAATTAGCAACAGGGGCTGTGCCTCTGTGATAACGTATTTAAGAAGGGGAACCTGAAGGAAGGAAGGAAGAGGTGTGAGGGAGTCACCTCTGCAAACACCAAGGTCAGTGGAAGAAAGGAGAAGTGGGGTGAGGTTTGCTGGAGCAGACTCTCCTGCAGCCCCTGGGGAGAGGGCAGGCTGTGCCCCTGCACCCAGGGAGGTCACGGGTGGAACAGACGCCCACCTGCAGCCCGGGGAGGACCCCGCACCCGAGCAGGGGGCTGTGCCTGCAGAAGGCCGGGACTCTGAGGGCAGCTCCTGCTGCTGTGGTTCAGCTCTGGGAGGACCGCAACACACGGGAGGTACCCACGCCAGAGCTGTTCAGGGATTGCTAAAGCCCGTGGGAAGGACTCGTGTCCAAGGAAGTTCGTGGAGGGCAGTCTCTCATGGGAGGGACCCCACGCTGGAGCAGGGGGAGAGTGTGAGGAGTCCTCCCCTGAGGAGGAAGGAGCGGCAGAAATAACGGGTGATGAACTGACCACGACCATCCCTTGCCCCTCTGTGCTGCTGAGGGGCAGGAGGGAGAGAAATCAGGAGCAAAGCTGAGCCTGAAAAGAAGGGAGGGGTGAGGGAAGGTGTTTTTAATATGTGGTAATACTTCTCTGTTTGATTGTTAAATTAAGTGCTGCTCAAGGTGGTGTTTAAATTAAATCGATGTTCTTTTTCTTCCCCTAATGACTGTGGGTTTTGCCCGTGACCATAACGGGTGAGTCATTCTTCCCTGTCCTTGTCTCAATTCCTGAGCTTTTTGTTTTATTTTCTCCTTCCTATTCCTGAGCGGGAAGGAGTGAGGGAGCAGCTGTGTGGTGCTCAGTTGCCCTCTGGGCTCAAACCACAGCAGGAAGCCATTAGTAAATACAGGAGCTGCCTGGGCTCTTCGCTGGGTAGCCAGGAGCAGGCAGCAGCTAGCAGACAGAGGGAAGTTTGTTCAGTAAAGCGTGACAGGTCTTGGATTGAACTTCAGTAGAAACACATCCAGGCCTATGCAACTGGTATAGGGGCTATGGGAAACCAAGACATTGGGGTCTGAGGCCAGACCAAGCCATAAGGGCAGCTGTCCCAAATCCAGCCCTCTGGTTCATTTTGGAGAATTGAGGCATTTTAGAGTTTCACTCCTGATTTAAATAAAATCTGAAATGCCCAGGTCCACCTGAGAGCCTGTGCCAGAGAGCTCTGAAGGAGTGCTCTCAAGGGTACAGAACTGTCCTTTTGGGGCTTGAGCAAGCTTTGGCAGTGCTGCTCACCAGGGAGCCTGGCACTCAACCAGGGCCATCAGTGGGGAATGCAAACACCCCTGGACTCGGTATTTTCACTGAGATGATGACAAATAGGAAAAAAAGCCTCACTTCAGCAACTAAGAAACCAAGACTGGATTAAAGAAACAATGAAAACCAGAAAGCAAAAAGAAAGTGAGTAACTAGCAGAAAGTTTTGCACCTGAGCAGACAAAGTAGGACAGCCACCAAGGGGCCACGGTGTTGGGCTGGCCCCAGCAGAAAGTAACACAAACCCATTTCGTTTTGCAAAACAACCTGTGCCCAAACCTGCATCTCTCAGAGAAAGACTTTGACCATTTCCGAAGAGAAGGCAGCACGACTGTCAGGTGAGGAGGGCCACAGAGCTCAGCTGGCTGGGGGGAGATCCCCCATTGCTTCCTCCCAGCTCTCAGTGGATCACAAGTGACCATGAAGGGATGAGGCACGATCACACAGACCCAGCTGCTGAGAACTTCACCTTTATGACTGCATGTCGTGGTTTGAGCCTGGTCGGCAGACAACCACCACGCAGCCACTCTCTCTCCCTTCCCCTCCAGCAATGAGAAGGGACAGAGAGCCAGGCTTGGGGTTTGAGATAGGACTGGGATGGGGAAAAATCCCCCTTTATGGGCACGAGCAAAAGGCAGACTCGTTAGGGGAAGAAAAACAAGAACATACATTTATTACAGACACTAACAACACTTAACAGAGTAGGACAGTGAGAAGCATTGCCCCATCTTGAGAACACCTTCCCCCCACCCCTCCCTTCTTCCCGGGCTCAGCTCTGCTCCCGATATCTCTACCTCCTCCCCCAGGGGCGCAGGGGCAGGGAATGGGGGGTGCAGGCAGTGCTGCTTCTTCTTCCATCTTTGGTGGGGGGGAGCTTCTAGAACTTCTTCCCCCTGCTCCATCGTGGTCCCCTTCTCACAGGAGACAGTCCTCCACAAGCTTTCTCCAACATGAGTTCCTCCCACGGGCCGCAGCGTTCCCCACACTGCTCCGTCATGGGTCACTAACTTCCTCCGACTGGATTCCCTCCCACGGCTGCAGCCCTTCCCGAGCTGCTCCGGCGTGGGACACCCCCGCATGCTGCAATCCTCCCAGCGCTGAATTACAGCAGCGGGGCTGCCTTTTCCCATGAGACCCCGGCCTTCTTCGGGCACAGAACCTTGATCATCCCGAGCAGGAGCAACAGGCCACAAATCAATGTCTGCTCCACCGTAGATCTTCGGGTGGGGGGGGGGGGCCCGCCCTGCCGTCTCCCCACAGGATACAGGGGGGTCTCTGTTCCAGCACACCTCCCCCCCGCTTCTTTCTTCTGACCTTGGTGTTCATGCAGCTGCCCCAACTCCTCCTCACAAGTCCCACTGCCCGTCACCATGTCTCCTTTTAAATACATTATCGCAGAGGTGCAGCTGATGGGCTCAGTTTCCAAACAGAAGTGGAGCTGGCTTGGAGCTGAGGAAACTTTAAGGAGCTTCTCACAGGGGGCCACCCCTATAGCCCCCTCCCCTGCCACCAAAAAAACCCCACTACTCACTCAACCCAGGACACTGCAAAATCACAAAGACTTTCCCACTGCTGATGACCACCCAGAGAGAGGAGAAACCTGCCAGGACCAGGACAAAGCTGGTTCCAGTGTTTTTCTTCCCATTTTCAGGCTTGCTTTCTTGCCTTCCACAACAGTAGAGGTTACTGCACTTTGCTCTGTGTTACCAAGAGGCTTCGCAAGGCCTTCTCTCTCGCAGCTCTCAAAAATTAGCAGGTTGCAGAACGAATGCAGTTCTGTCGGAGGCAAGTTACCCTCAACAGTCAATGTCCAAATGTTCACTACTTTTAGAAGTCCTGAATTGCTTGTCAGTGTGGGTTCATTTAGGATACTTCAACAACAGCAATTGGCCCAGTTTTCTTGGGATTATGCTATTTTCAGCCTTTCCTTTTTTTAGAATAGCAAGCAGCTGTGGTTCCTACCAATACTCAGAGTTTTTACACCACATTTTTACTGGGAGTTCTATATGCTGGGCTGCCAGATCCTTCCTTTCCTGCACAAGGACAACTGGTCTCATTTAGGATTTTTTTTTTTCCTCTCAAAAAAATAAATAATTATTGGAGAACATGATCAAAAAGGCATAGTCAGAGTATGGAAGGGAATATCCTCAAGGCAGCCAAAGCCAGGCACACCCATCCTACTACCAGACTTGGAGTAGGGTGCTCACTTTTGAACAGGCACCATGAAAAGGAACCCATCTGAGAACTATGCACACAAAACTCCTTCCCTACAGGGGAAACCACAATTTCAATAGCAATACAGAAGGGGTGGTGGCAGGTATGAAAGAAATTAATGAGACCACACTGGCCAAAACAGAGCACAGCTAGCCTGAGGACATGGCTGGCCAGAAAGACAAGCAACAAGTGTTGGCCCAGAAGGGGAGCACGGAAGGGTGCACAGAAGTTAGTGCAGATCTAACGATGGAGATAGTCTAATGTGAGGGATGTACAGCGAGACGCAGCAGAAGGGTGAGGACAGAATGAGAAGTACAGACAACTTTTGTTGAGGTGGGAAAGAGAAGAGGGAGATGGCAAATACAGGCAACATGGCTGGGGTGGTGACAGCCACATTATCAGCATGCTCTGCAGACATGCAATGGGACACCTAGCTGGCCAAGAATGGAGGAAAGGATGCTGCAGCAACAGGTAAGAGCCAGGCCAGGAATTTCAGCTGGGAGGACTGATAAGCAAGGTATTTTAGAGATGTGACTTGAAGCATCATCTGAGAGACCCAAACAGAGCAAGAACAAGTGAAGCTAGAGAGCAAGCTGGGAGCTGAAGAGTACAGACCGATCTGGGGACTGAGTAACACTTCTGCAATAACAGAGGACAAGTTAGAAGAATTTTTAAAGCCATTCTGAGCATGACTTGATGGCCAGAAGGAAATTTCACAGCACCCACAACTGCAGTTTGGACAGGAGGAGCTTGGAGAAGGGAGGGAGATCTGCAAGACACCCCTTGTGTGGCTCTGCAGAGGAGATTAGTGGTGATGAGCTGTGTGGGGAAGATAAGGACCACACACACAGTCCTGAGCAACCCTAAGAAGAAGTGGGGGTGGACAGCAACTCATCTACGCAGTAAAGCTGCTCCTACAAAGAGTGCATTGGCAACCCCATCATTTGAAACCCCGGCTGTGCATCTGGCTTTCCCTACTCCAACCAGCAAAGAGCTGCCGTGGCGACACAGCACTCAGGTGAATGCTGAATTACCCCGACTGGACCAACATCCCTCTAGCAGCAATCCCAGAGCACCCCATCTCCTGTAAGAGGGCATCTTGGGTCGCTTTTGACCCT